GCAGAGTAGCAATTTGTTTTTGTCCTTACCCCCTGAAAATGAACTCCACCTCCAGTACCTAGCGTGTACAGATATGCAGAACAAGTCACAGCACAAGGCTTTTCTGTCTTTTAGAAACAGGATTTTGTTTCCTTTCTTACAAAAGGTTTTAGGAAATTACTGCTAAAGTTGTTCGTATGTGTAAAAACTACCATTGGCTGATCTATGACCATGGGGACTAAAACCACGAGCTGCTATGGCTTAAGTTCAGTGCTTAACTTTTTCTTTAGCTCTGCGTGGACTCAGGGTGGGAACTAGACCTCCTATTACCTGGTGGATGTCACAACAAATACCGGCTTGGCGGCCATGGTATATATCTGGAAGCTCTGCCTGCAGAGACCACTAGCACATATTTTACAAAGAGGAGAGAAAGCAAGGAGTAATGGCAGATCTGTTTGCTTCAAACAGGAATGGGTCTAGCCGAAGGAAAGCTGGGATGTACCCAGCGCTCACCAACACTGTTCATTATAACCTGTTCCATCTCTGTTATTTCTTTTCAGGATCCTGCTGTTTTAGAAGCTCATTGTACCTACCTTACCTCAGGCACTGCTCTCGTGCTGTGTCTTCAGAGGCCAAATGCCGTGAAGAAGCTGATAGATTTACTGGGACCAGAGGATCCTAAACTAGCCCAAGCACTAGATCCGTTCCTCTGGAGGGCTCAGTATGGCATCAGCACAGTCCAAAATGGATTTTACGGTAGGTTTTTGTAAAAGAAAAGTCTGAAGGCTCAGATATGCCAATGGAAAAAATATATTATGTACTGTTACCTCCTGCATTGTCAATACAGATCTGGCCTTGGCAGGCAGTAGAGACCGTTATTCCCTAGAAAGCTTTCATTTTTTTCTTGGTGGCTGAGCTCAGTATGTCTCAAGCTATGAAATATTCTCCCAGAAGATATGTTAAAAAAAAGTTTCTTCCCAGAACAGCCCTAGATCTGTCTTCCATCAGAACAGATTTCCTTTGATCTCTTCACTGCTTGGTCATTTTCTACTTTTAGCTTGGTTATTTTGTAATTATCCCCAAGAACCCATCTGTCTTCTATCTGCTTGTGAGTCCCCTCCTGATAACTTCATAACCCATTGGCCAACTGCAACCAGATTTCACAGAGGGATAAAAGACTCCAAGATACTGAGTTCCTGTAACATCTCAAAACATTAATGACCGGCTAGAAAGAGGTGATCAAAAATTGCTCTCGCTGAGGAAAGCAGGTAAACTCAGCTGTTTTCCATTCGGAGAGGCTCTTGCCAGCTGGCACATCAGCAGAGGCACACCAGCTGGTCAGCATCCCCAGTGTGCTGAACCAGTCACAGTTCATCTGCCAGCAGGGAGGGAACTAGGATGTTGCAGTGTGTATGTGGGGTGGGTGGGATGACAGATAGCCGAGAGTGTGGGTGAAGGATGGGAAAATGGGAAGTATTGCTGGAGAGAGTGGCCTATAGAGAACCAAGGGTATTGCTGGAGGGGGCCTGGGCTATTGCCACAAGGAGGGAAGGATGTAATTCAAAAATTCATGAGGAATTAAGCATCATTAGTTCACTGCCCATGAATAGTGTTTTTTCCTCAGTGTGGTACTGATTGTGCTGTATGTAGTTAAGGGAGTATAGAAATAATAAAAGCAGGTGAGGCAAGCAGGCACTATATGCCTTCAGGTTCCAGAAGAACTTTCCTGTCAAGATCCATTGGATTATTTGGCTCTTTCTGTTGTATTCTGTGCTGTCAAATCACTCCCTCTTTTCGTTCATATCAAGTGGTCTTTTGAGGAGAACTGGTAGGGGATGAAGTAGCCACCATGTACAGCTTGGGGAAGAGAATCAATCCCTTAATGTAGAATCTTTTTTTATCAGATATGATCATAATCCTTAGGACCAAGACTAAACTGAGAGAGAGATCTCCCTGTGGTTACTCACAGGATCTCATTCGTGGGAGTGGCTAAAGAACAGGATCTACCTACACAAAAGAAATGGTCAGGGCTCTTCAGCCAATACTTTTCCACTATCAGCCTCTGCTGCTTTTGCTCTTAAGATTAATGGATTGCGTATCCAGGTTGCCTTGAGAATGAGAATGCATCAGTCATGGCTAAGAATGGGTGATACATACCCAAAACTTAAGATACCCATGCTATGGTTAGAGCATCCCTAGCATAACTCAGTTAAAGATTAGTTTATATTAGCAAGAGAGGCTGAGTCCCATCCTGTCTTTCGCTGGGAGTCACAGAGAACTCACTGTGTTAGAGAAACCCTCAGATGTTTCTCTAACATCTAACCCTGCTTAGGGATTTCCTTCAGATCCCTGCTTTCTTCTAAGACTGGGCTGAGCACAGAGCTGAACTAGTTGGCCACCACCTGCCCTCTGAGACCAGATTGTGCGTTATGTTGGAGCCAGCTATATAGCTGGCTCACAAAGCCATCCTTGCACACATTCAAGGAAAATGGATGCAGTTGTAGCTAATGTACTCAGTAATTCTGACTCAAGAATCTGATCCAGCTGCTGTGCCAGGGAGGTGTCTGTCCATAAGGAAAGGAGTGTTCATAACCCCTTGCACCTCCAAGAGCTTGCCCTCCAATAAGGGTGAAACATTTACCTACAAGTTAAGCAGGAAGAGCTTAATCATTGCGTGAGTAATCATTTGGGGGACTGTGGAAGACCATCTTCCTTTCCTAGGAGGGAATACCAAGTTTTCTCAGTTTTGCTCCAGCTGAGGAGGATTTCTAGTTAATGCCATCTTGCTGAAGTAGAGCAAACTCTAGCTGTGTGTTTCCTCCCGAAGTGACTGGGGAAATTCAAGTAAGATGAAGACCAGGTTCCAGTGATACGGTCGAACCAAATAATGCAGTTTTAATACTCTGAGGCTCAGCTACAGAGGTAAACCTGCAGTCCTGTCATCTCTTCTGGGTCTTATGAAGTCATTGTATAGTGCTTTTTCTTGAACCCAAAGAGCTCTTGCACATGCATCTTATACAGTCTCACACCTTGAGCAAAGCGAGGGTAAAATGTTGCTAGCTTTGGGAGCATTTGTGTCCTCTGTAATAGCATCAATGATTTAAACAAGGAAGATTTGACAGAGAGGTACATAGAGGATACAGCATGACTTACACACTGGTGACTTACACAGTCTTAGGATTGTAAACTACTGCATTAAGGACTCTGGCTATACAATACCTAGAATTATGAAGTTCTAACGGGGCTGAGTGCTCTAAGAGCAGTAAGACATGATTCTTTGAATGGGTAGCCTGCAAAGGTGGTAATATTTCAGAGGATATTTGCGTTTTGTGTATTGGTATCCCAGGAGTATGAATCTGTGCCAGCACATTGACAATCTATCTGAACTCCAGTTATATAGAAATAGCTTTTCCTTCTCTAACAATTTCCACCCACAAATCTCAAAACATTCTGAGTAGTGCTTTATAACACTGTTGCTTTATAGGGAAATATTCAGGTGCTAAGCCTGGAGGGACCTCTCAAGTCACTGAGTTCAGTTAATTCTCTCACAGACAACCCCATCATGTATTCCCTTTCATAAGCATCCACCCCAGTTGGATGGTTGTTACAGAACTTCACTGCTCTGATAGCTAGAAATCTTCTTACATTTTCAAACTTAAATATAGTCATATACAGATTGTATCCATTTGTTCTTGTGCCAATACCTGTACTTTAATGTTAAGTAGTTCTTTTTTCTTCTCTGACCTTTTCCACCCTGATGTGTTTACCAGAAATCAGATTCCTTCTCAGCTTTGTGTCATGTTGGGTCAAACAAGCCAAGGTCTTTTAGCTTTAACCCTTTAGATGATTCTCCATTCCTTCTGTGATCCTCACATTCTTTCTCTGTACCTGTTCCAGTCTCCGTTTACCTTTTGTGACCACAGGTGAACAGAAAAATACACTGCTATCAGCAATGTCTCATACTAATTCTGATTTCTGTTGTAAATCAGAGCCCCCAGCATATTTGAGGCTTACATTATTGTTACTAAGCACAGTTGTTTTACTAACCAGTAGCTCCTTCCTATTCCATAAGGCCAGCCTGATGTGATCCAGAAGCAAGGGAACAACAATGGGGGACTAGAGCTGGTATTGAAGAGTTTCACAGGCTCCTTAACACGATTCCCTTGACTACACTGTTAGGAAATAGAAGGAGTCTCGTTCACATGAAGAACAAGCTGAGCGATAATAGGACAGAATCAAAATACCAAGAAGGCGATGGAACTTTTCTAAATATAATGGTTTTAAATGTTTGCTATTACTGTACAGAACAGCTGGCCTTTAAAGCAATTACTTCAGTAAGTTGCACATCATCAATCTCTCAGAAAGATGAGTGTGAGTCTAGAGAATGTTTAATTCATGGCCTGAGAGAATCTTCTCATTGTATTTATCTCTCAGGCTCCAAATCCTATCAAATAGCTGTCCGGGATATGAAGCTGTTTTTCCCAGAAGGGCTGTGCTGCGCTGAGTGTCAGACATTAGAGGAGGAAGAGGTAGGATTCTGCCCTTTCCTGAGAAGTATCCTGCTGTGTCAGAGCAATGGCTTTGGCCCTGCCATCCCATGACTTCTTTCCTATTATGCTTTAGATAATGCTTTTTTTGCTGTGTCTCACCAGCTGCCGAGTTTTGCTTCTCCTGTGGATGTTCCTACCACAATGTGCTAACTTTGTATTGACCCAGACAGTCTCGGTGGAAAAGTGCTTTTTCAGATATGTTTGTTCAGTAACCCGTGCCGTAAATTCAGGAGGGCTCAGGGCTCATACTTCAGAAGCACTGCCCTATTTGTGTGACAAGGGTGTTGTCCCTTGTGCCCTGCCAGCAGAGGTACCAGTCCACAGCAATGAAAAGGGCGGGGCCGTCTCATGTAAGACATCTCATGCTGTAAAGTACAGGCAGTTTACAGAGCTGCTGGGTGCCGGCATCCTTCCCTGCCCACAGACAGAGGCATAAAGACTTGAACTCTTGCCTCTTGGCTTGCATTGTAGGCAGTGCGGAGAAGCCTACCAGTACTGGTGTGGCCCGCTCCTGCTCGTCTGGCCCTTCACACTATGTAGCTGCTGGTCTCTGATTCAAACCACTGTAATTTGCCAATGGCTAAAATGAAACAATATCTTTCCAGTTCAACTAGTTTTGTATGTCATTTCCACTCTGATTGTTTTCATCTCAAAACCAGAGTTTGAAATGATTGGGTTATGCCCAATGAAGAGAGAGGTTTTTGAGCCTTGCTATGTCCACATGGCACAGAGGTGACCCAGCTGAGTTTAGTCCAAGGAGATTAGCTCTGGAACTGGAAGCAGCTGGCCACATCTGTAATATGCTTTGCTAATGTGGATGCCCTCCCTCTGCAACTCAGTCCAGAGCATCGTGACTGCGCTGTGCTGGGACATGTGGATGTGCCAGTTCATTCAGAGACAGAAGGGAGCCGCTACACATCAGTGTGGCACTGGATAAAGTTGTCTGGCCTTGAAAAGCTGGGAGCAGAGACCTTAGAAAGGTGTCTGGATGTAGGACCTTTAAAAGGATGACAAGATGTCATACTGAATTAAGCCTCAATAAAAAAAGAACGCATGCAAAATGTTCTTGTATCTCCAGACAAGCAGGTGTTTTCTAAGCTGGCAATTACAGAAGTACACAACACCAAAAAAAGCTTCACAGCTTGCCTGAGTCAATTCTTAAGAAGTGTTACCCTTTCTGATTAGGTAATGGTGCTCACATGACTTGCCTCTCTCTCCCTCCCTTCCCTCCTGCAGATCTATAACCTGAAACGTGACCCCATAGTCAGTTTGGAAATCAACAAGCAGCGCAAGATCATAAAACGTGAAACAGGAGGGCAACTCAATTTATTGGGCTCTGAGCAACCATGCGATCTTGGTAAGGAAATGCATAACTCTCGTTATAGATTGAGACTGTTATTGATTAATTGGACAGCAAGACAAACCATCTGGTGGCAGCAAGATTTGGTATTGATGTCCTTTCAGAAGGGAGAGACAGCTCTGAGCTGCAAAGAACAGCTCCAGTGGAGTCCAGCCATTTAACTGTTTACCTGCCAGGCCTTTCCACTGGCAGTGCTTTCATGAGTTTAAATACAGGGCCGTTCAGAGGTGCTGATCTTATCACCTGCGGAAGAACAAACACTTTCAACACAGCTAGCGTAAGCAACAGCGCGCATTTCTCTGCTGAAATTTTACAACGCGTTTCAACACCAACTTGGCCACGGTGGTTTGCATGTCCATTCAAAGCCTGCCACAGGAGAGGCCAAGACACTGTAGCGATGGGCATTTATGAGACGTTTCGTTCTGTGAGTAGATAAATAACAATTTATGCAGGGAGTGCTGTTGGCAGCGTGGACATCTAACTCTCGGGAACTGGGCTGAGATCTCATTCAATTCCCACTAGCTGCTGAACAGCTGCCAGCTCAAAATGACTTTCAGTTGTCGCTGGTCTGACTTTGATTTGAAGTCAAAGCTTCAGCAAGCCTGTCAGTTCCCTCAGATGCCTACAGTTTCTCTGGGCTTTTCTGTAGATTTTACTTGATAGGCATGTATACAACGCAGGCTGTGATGCAGCAGCATACATGTCAGGAGTTGTAACTAACACATGGGGATGCTTCCACGTTGGGATATTGTGGATTGATCCCAAGCCTTTATAAACAAGCAGCGACCAGGTAGAGCATCCCTGTGGATCTCTCCACACTGTGGAGCAGATGTGTTTAGAACCGGGTCATTCTCATTCCTGTAGCTTGAATTCTGATGTGACTGGCAAGCGGGAGGGTGGGCAGCTGAGAAAATGTTCCTGTCCTACACCTGATTGCTGCAGTTGTTAATCCCAGCAGTAAAACCACAAGATTGTTGTGGACTGGCAGACGAGTATGATAAAAATGCTACAGAATTACAGACCGTCAGCTCCCACCTAAAACCCTTACTGATACAGGACTTCTGGGCATTGACCCCATACCAGCAGGTGCAAGGAGGATGGTGGTAAGCCAAGGGCTCCGCATTAATGACAGCATAGCTGCCTGGTAGGCACCACGTCACTTTTGTGTAGGGGATCTCTGAAGGAGGATTTTTCCCAAGGTAATGAGCAATGAATTCTTTCCACTGTCTTATGTTGGCTTTGGGCTATGCCCTACGCATGCTTCATGGTCGTTACAAAAATCACAAATCCTCAGGCAAGCTCCTTTTCTTACATTGCACACTAATATATCAGAGATTGACTGCATGAAGGTTTAAGACTTAACTGATGCCTGCGGTGAGGGGTGAGGCCTATCTTGAAACGTTACTGACATTCCCAAGCCGTTGTATGAGTCCTGAAACAAGAGATTGGCAACTGTGTGTGTGTAACAGCAGCTTTTTGAGATGACCAGGCTGTTCTGCATGTAGCTGTCTGACCTTCTCGTCTGGGTAGCTGCAGAGATGTGATCACATCATTGTGTTTCCTGTATGTCAGCTCAAGCTGTGTTCAGAGCACAAAGCTGCAGTGAGAGGAGACTTGCAGGTGTTCCCAGTCCAAAATATCCTGTGTTGCTATTGCTGACAGGCAGGGTAGTTCCCCCAACAACTTACTGCACGATGGGAAAGGGCCAGGCCTGTAGCACAGGTCTGCTGTGACTGAAGTGCTTCTTGATTTTTAGAAGAGATTGCAGAAAATAAAATAAAAGAAATAGCTTGTTGTGGGGAGAGCACAAGTATTCTGCAAGCTTTGTACAGCCCAGTGTTGGGAGCAAATCTCAAAATATGTGCCCCTAATTTCCTGCTGCATGAGGATCTCTTTGCTTTGAAGATGTCTAAGCAGAGTAAAAAGGAAAACAGTGTTCAGCCCTGATGTGTTTGTGTCTCAGAAAATGTATTTCAAAGAGTTAGTGTCCTGGAAAAGCAAGTACACGTGATCTCTGAACTGTCAGGCACAATATAGTAAGCGCCTCCAGCAAGGCAGACCCATCGTTCACTTTATGGTCTCATCTTGAACACTAGAGGTAGCTCTTGCACACAAAGAAACCTCTCCTTTCACCAAATAATTGTCACAAAGCTGCTGCCTAATGGACACACAGATTTATCATGAGGAAAATATGAAATACATTGTCTTATGTATGCTGATGAGAATTACATTTTGGATTATAAAAGCAGCTGGATTAACAGATTTCTTTGCTTGGAAGAAATTAAATGGAATAGTATCTCCTGTAGCAAACCAGCAGCTGTCCTTGTCTGACTCCTGAAATGGGGTCACTACTGCTGTCTTGTGATCTCCAGATACATACACGTAGGCATACAGCAGTTGGGCAGTTCAGGATGAGCAATTGCATCTGTGAACATCCCAAACGATATAACAATGCCTGAGAGCCTCTGATCTTCCAGTTACTTGTCTGTGGCAGGGAAGAATTACTTAGGGGACTAGCAGTTGAGGGGGGTAGATATAAAATAAGCATCTGTTGTGTTTTGATCTTTTCCCATCAGATCGGCCATTGCTTGATAACCTCTGCCAAACCACTTGCTTCGTATTGCCTGGGATAATCCTTCGGGGTTCAGAGCACCCACCTTATGTCGAACTGCTTGATCAGCTTATTGGCAAAGATTTCACAGTGACTGGAGTACGCCTCACTGTCCTGGATGGACCACAAGCTCACTGCATCTCTGAGACACTAAGCAGGGCAAAGTGCAGTGTTGCAGCAAAGGTATGAAACAGCTGGAGTTGTGCTTTGCTTCCAGCCTTTCAGTTATAAGAATGTTAGGTGTTATCTGTAATAAGAACAGGTAAGATCTTTTCAGGTTGTGATTTTTTAAACTGACAGCATCCCTTTGAAGTACCTCTGTATAGAATAGCAATTACATCTAGCATCCAATTAGTCTAAGCACTACTTTCTTCCCCTGCGGTTCCCCTGAGGACGCCATCCCTCTGCACACGGGAATGTGCACAGCTCTCTAGGAAGGACAAAGCGAATCAGCGTGTGGGAAGGAGAGCCATGGCAGCGGCACTGCTCTCCTGGCGATGGAAACACTTCCTCCTGTCAGAGATGAATTGCTCTGGGCAGAGCTGGCACGTTTCCAGAAGGGTCTGGCACTGCTGAGCCAAAGGTGAACATTACAGCATTTGCTTTCCTTTGCCAGAAGAGAGATGGGCTCCTTCAAGTACAATATCTCAACATTTACCGTTATCTCCGTATTCCTGCTTCCAGCAGACTTAGTGACTGAATAACACACCTAAGTAGCCTGCTTATTTTCACTCTGAGAGAAGGGAACAGGAATAATAGCATGCCATAGGAGCGGGATAGCTAACAGTTCAGACATGATACTCTTTCGATTTGAAAGGGTCTGTTGCTTTGTGACTCTCATCCCCTCACACAGCACACAAGCAGTTATCTGTACTGTCAGCGGTTCGTCAGTGAGGCTTACATACTTATTTAAGTGGATAGCAACACTAAAGCTCTGTTCTTCCCTCTCTTGTAGTGTTCCCTCTTAATGGATGGTTTGTGTCTGGTGCTAGCAGCACAGCGAGACAATGCGGTCATTTGCTTCGACTCCCTGCTGGACAGGTAAGTGAGGACAATATCGCTTTAACAGCGCTGTCTCAGCCCCCTGCTAGAGAGCTTGTGATCTGAAGGAGGGCAGCTGACTTTCTTCTCTGTAATTCACTTCCAGTTCAGACTCCCATGAGGTCAGGTGCCACTCAAAGGCAACCCATTCTTCCTAAGTTATGTTGCTGTTAATGGGTCAATACCTCAGAGTGTTCCCCAGTTTCAAAGTCATGTGTCCTATACTCAGGACCTTAAATACTGAGTTGTGTTGTTTGTTAAGGACTTGGAGTGTCTGTGAGGCTTGGTGGCGTGGTTCCACGAATACAGGGAATTCTCTGAAATAAGGACTCACATTGGGAATAGACCTGCTGAATCAATAAAATTCCTAGGAGAAATATCTTAGCAGATTCTATGTTTGCTTTGAAAAAAAAACCTTAAAATAAATGCCAGACAGCAAAATCAAAAATTAGTCTCTTAAATAAATCACCAGAAATGCTGGGTAGAAGATGTATGAGCCTGGTAAAACAAACAGAACCCCTCTACAGGGACTGATTAGTGAAATAGAATGATTATCAGGCCAATTAACCCACTGTTCCCCAGAGGGAAAGTTTCCTTGCACAGGGGCTGGTATTTGGCAATGCGATGTGTAATTCATGCACATGGTTTCCTCTGGGAAAGGAAGCCAAGAGAGGTTTTTTTCTGACACATTTGGTATAGAGCAGTCCAGCAGCCACACCGATAAGACTGTTGTGACTTTGGCTGTACCATCTGGAGGACTTCCAGGTAACACTGTCAATGGGACAGGAATAAGGAATTCAAGGATGCTGGACTTTACAAGCATCAAGGGGGTCAAATCTGAACATCCAAGTTGGTAGACACCTTGGAGTTCTCGTACGTTGATGAAATGCTACGATGCTCGGTCACAAGGCCACACCTGGGAAGAATAGTTGGAACAAATTTCATCGGTAACTTTTCAAAATGTTTTTAAGCTCATGACAAAATTTAGATACTGCTCCCATTCATTTAAAATCACACCCTTGGGAGCCAAATCCCAAACTTTTCACCCTGCAAGTTACAGCACTAAGGGGAAGCAGAGAGCAAGTTACCAAAGACCTTTCTAGTGAGTTTTCTCCCATTTTTTCCCTGGTTTACAGGGAAAAAGTGAGCTGTTGGGAACCCCAGAGATCACTGCTGAAGGTAGTTCTGGGAGAGTGGCTGTCAGCAGTGCTGGCAGCCAATACAAGATCCACCACCTCTTTATTTTCCCCAGGCTTTTGCTCATCAGAGTCATGGGTGCTGCATAACAAGATCAGCTGCGACCCAGAGCTTCCCTCTTCTGTAGGCTTAACTCGATATGTTTTAAGATTGCCAGTCTCAAGGCAGCACCCCCAGAGCAAACCTCGCAGTGGCTTCTAACTGCCATTCACAGTGAGCCGATGGGCTGAGAAGGAAGCGGGGAGGAATAGGTGCCAGTCTCAGCTGTGTCTTTCACCCCTCATCCTGGTCTGTGCCAGTATGGCTCTCTGTACAAAGGATAAACTTCCTTGCCGAACTGCAAAATACATGTGCATAAATTATGGCTGTCAGGAGGCACTCCCAGATGGCAGGATCCACTCTGCCTCTTACCCCAGTGCCAGAACTAGTGATCATGCAGCCATTTAAAACCAGCTCTACAAAAAAAATATTTGCCTTCATGATCGATGACACTTGTGGAAGGGAGGGGCAGCAAGGTGTGCCCAAGGATGGGGAGGAGGGGAGGCAGTGATCCTTGGGTAGATCAACTTTAGCCGACAGTAAACTCATAGCCTTATTGTATCGTAAGCCATCATAATGTTTAAAATCAACTTTGCAAATATCTTTGAAAACCCAGCCTGACTTAACTAGTGTCTCATAAGGACACTTCATGCTAAGACATCTTCATTGCCTAGTTTATAAACATTTCAAAATAACATCTGAGGTTAATTACACTTATGACTCCGTCAGCAGGAGCCACGTGACCTTTCTTGTACTGAGTAAATCACTGTATATTTATTTCACTCTTACTGCCACGGCCCAGGATTTCAATACCTGCACAGGTTCTGGCCTGCATTTCAGCTGCATTGCTGAAGCACCATGGTGGAAGAGATTATTTTACGGCCCTGGGAGTTGATTCACAGCTGAGCCACATTACTTAGGCTTTGTGCCATGGGGAGAAACGTTGCCATCTGTATGGAAGCCTAGGATATGATGTCAGAGATGGGCTGTGATAAGAAGGAATCAGGTGTTGAGAGAAACTATGCGGGCTTTGCTAGTATAACTGCTCGTAGTTCAGAGCCTATTAAAGCTTTCCTAAGCCAGCTCTAGCAGTGGCACATCAAGGAGAGACATTCAATCACTGGAGGATGTGCTGTGCAGAGCAGTTGCCTTAAAGACAGACACAGACCCTCATAACTGTGTAGTGATTATTGTTCAGCAGCAGCAGTGCCCACTGTCCGTTCTCCGGACATCTATGAAGGCATTATTTCTGCACCAAAGGGCAGGAAGAACAGAGAAGGGGACAAAATTTATGTAGGTGGGGGCACAAAAGCAGCCTGTGAGCTTGATTGACTGCAAAGAGTGGAGCCAAAGTGAGAATCTGGGAGGGTGCCAAGGGCAACTCATAGGGCAGAGTGAAGTAAGTGTTTGGAAGAGGTGAGGGGAAGCTGAAGCACAGCCTAAGAGCAGTGGGGACTGGGGGTGGGGGGAGAATCCAGAGAAAAGTGACACAACCCTATCCGCAGATAAGAAAAAATGATGTGAGACACTTACCTTTCTTGTTCTGTCAGCATCCGGTTGCCTGGACCTCCAGTATAAAGCATTTGAATTTTCCCTGTCATAACTTGTTTTTACAGCCAGATTTCCTAGCTGCAGGGTGGCAGAGGGAAGATTCAAAGCGACTCCTGGAAGAAAGGCATGCTCTGCTTTTTATGCGTGACAAACTAGATTTAGCTACGTTAATAGGTGATACTGATTTAATAGCGATTACTCCTCTGTAGTTATTTGAGCTTTTAAAAAGTACTTTCAGATGCCCGTAAGGTTGTTAGGGCCTAACTATATTGTGCACGGTCTTTAGGAACTCACCTGGTTAATGTGGTACTGAACCCGGTAAGCAGTGTTTGACTAAAGCACGCCGAAAACCTAGCTGCATCAGAAGAAAATCGGGGTGTAGACTAGGCCTTATACCTTCCTGGTTTTAGACAATGTAATGCAATCAGAACAAAAGTCAAGTGTTTAGGAGCTTAGCTGGATGTTATTCTCTCTGATGAAACATTCTTACCAAGTGTTAATTGCTGTTAGCAGGGAGTGATGTTATCCCTATAGGAAGCTCATCTCTGGGAGCTTTGGAGGGAAAGGAGGTGTAGAAATCAAAAAATGAACACACGAGATGTAAAATCTCGGAGCTGTTGAAAACCACTGAAGGGAAAACTGTTGCCAAGCGCAATACCTGGATATGGGGGCAGGGAGCAGGGAGTGGCTTCCAAAGCCTCTGGAGAGTTTTCAAGCCTAAGGCTCTGAGCATAGAGTTAGTTTAAAAGGCAATTTTGAAATTTGTATCTTGCCTTTGAATTTCTCTTGAATATGTCTTGTGGTCAACTCGTGTGTGGCTTGAGCTGGACCAGAGCAAAACAAGGACTAGTGAAGCAGCTTAGAAAGTCCTAGGTTTTGAGGAAAACACACACGCTATCTTTGTTGAGAAAAAGACTCCTGCACAGAGCTAACTATCTACATTTATGTGTATTTCCCACTGCCCCAGAGACCCCATTATGCAACAGGTCATTACTGTTTGTTTGAAGTCTTATATTTTAAGAATCCAAATCCATTTATACAAAGCTTTGTAAAACCCAGGATTTATCTGTGTAAAGAAGTTCAGTAACAGATGCTCATGGCCAGAGCTGCTGGCACAGAGCATAGTCCTCCTCAAAGCTAGGTCATCTGCAGGCTCTGACAGCTTGGGTGGCAAAGTAACACTGGCTTCTGTTTTTCTTTACCCCCAGTGTCTGTTGGCAGAAGCAGTCAGTCCTGGACACTGCGCAGCATCTCCTTTATCCCCAAAATGAGAAACAGGCAAGTAGAGCAGTTTATGGTATATATATGTGTCCTTTGTGCCCCTGTGATGAATGAAACTTGCCAAATTGTTTGAATTTTAGTAGAAAATTTCAATTTGTATGAGACAGAGGTGGTGCCTCATGACAGCCCCAAGCCTTGGCTTATATTGAGAGCCCAGCACATGGTGGAAGGTGGGACCAAAACCCTGTCAAACTGCCTTCCACATTACACCAGTGGCACTACTTTGAATCAAAATATTTTGAGACTTTGATACAGATTCAACATTTTCTGTAGATGTCAGTTACTTTTTATGAAGAATCAACACTTAGTAAGATATCTGTGATACTTGTCAAAAATAAGTGACAGGAAATGTACATTCAGCCCGACTGCCAAGCTGGCACGTGTCCTGTGTTCGGAAAGTTATGTTTCAGAAGCCCAAGTCCAAATGGAAGACGAGAAATTAAGCCATTAGCCATTCCTGGGATGGGCTAGCTGAATATTTTCTCAGTAGCTCATCCCAAGAAAGGAAACACTAAGCTCCAGGTTTTTAAAGACATGTGGGCACCTAATGGGAATAAACTGCACAAACACCTTTAAAACTCTGGCTGTTATCATCAAAGTTTAGTACAAAACAAACAAGATGTTTGGATACAGGAGGCAGTGCCTGAAGAGTTAGAACTACGAGGTGTAAAAGAATTGGGGAGAATGAGAAACAGTAGCAAGTGAACAAGCCTTTCCTGTGGATCCCTTTTGCTTCCCAGGAAACCCCAGCAGGAGAGTGAGATGTGTTTTTAACCTCATATATCAGAGCTGCTGCCTTCAGTACCAGTGCTCTAAGGATTGATCCTTAAAAGACACAGAGCCCCTCTTGGAAGTCTGTGTTCCTGCTTTTAACGCAGGCAAAACTACCCCAAACTTCCCAAAAGTCATACAGCTGCTGTTTTCAGCAGCTTTCCCTAAGGCACAGTAAAATTCTCCCTGGGTGTAGCTGGGATTGTACGCGCTGCAGTGCTTGGGAAGGTCTGCCTGCACAGCTCTGCGATAGCTGCAAGGCTGTCATAGCACAGCGCTTACTGCTGCCAGGGTGCCAGGCTGTTGCCAAGTAATGTGACAGGGCAGCAAGTCCAGGCTGTCTTCTGATTTGCTTTGAAAAGGACATTACATACCTCTGGCTGACATAAAATCCCTTCTGCTTCACGGCTATGGGGAATCAGCCTATCAAAGAGGCTTATAGTACTTTCTGTGATAGATAAGAGAAAAAGCAAATATGCTCAGCCCTTCTTCCCTGCTTCTGGCAGCGTGGGCCACTGAATCAAATCCCTCTGGCGCTGGTGGGAGCAGGGGCTACTCACAGCAGTTCAGAGTTTAGACCACGGGTCTAGTCCTGGGACAGTGGTGGGTGCAGCACTTCTCATTGTGGGTTACAAGAAGCACAACGGCACGTAATGTTTATTTTCAAATGGGCCTTTTGCTCCAAAGTTCAGAGTAGGTTCAGAAAGCAGAGAGCAAGATCTGAGGAGCAAGCTCACCACGGAAAGACTGTACCCTCAAAGGATGTCCCTAGGAACGATGTTTGATCCTCTGATCTTTTGCTAATGAGTTTATGAAATGTCAGCCAGGCTTTCCAGGTCAAAGCTAATGAGCAACAACATGATATCAGGCAAAGTTCAGGAGGGTTAAATGAACATGGATTTCAAATCCTCATGCTCTGCTCAGAGCTGCAGCGTTTACTGGTGGAGTCGAGCCATGGAAGTGAAAAGGAATTTCATACTTGCTCCCTGTGTGATTTGGGACTAGGCAATAGGATGAGAAATCAGTTTTCCAGACGTGGACTATTTCAGTTCTGACATCTGTGTCTGGGCTAGTTGTCTTGCCTCCTTCTGCAGTCACTGAGAGAAGCAAGCATATTTATAGCACTTTTCACCTGCCCTATTTGAAACATCTGCCTTAGGAGCAGATGAATTCATGCTTTGGAAGTTCCTTATTCTCAGGCAGTGACCCTGCAGGTGCCTGCTCCCCATGCAGGCTTCTCTTGGGCACACGCAGAGCAGCTCACATCTGGAAGTGATAGAGTCACATTTTGTTGGTGCCACCGCTAAGGGGCTGTTGAACTTCCAGAGGGCCTCTGTGAGGCGGTCCCAGATGTCCCTGCACCTGGTCCATACCCAGGCTGGAACCTCCCCAGCGATAAGAGAGCTGTCAGGGAGTGCTGCACTCAGCCTCACGACTGGGATGTCCTGCGGCTGAATGGTTTCTCCTCGCATGCAGCTCTGCACCGTGGCTGGGATGAGATCGTGAGGCTGGGGTGGCCGTCCCTCAGTGACGGTGCAGTACGTCATTGACCTGCCACATGAGCGGGTCAGAGCAGGGAGACGGCACGGTCTCTGCACAGCCGTTCCTCAGTAAAAGCCCATGGATATGCAGCTGAACCTCCACTGGCAGGCAGCGCTAATCCCCCCACTCTGCCCGGAGCCCTCCCTGCAGAGACAGCTGAAACCTGGGTCTGGAGCAGAGCGACACAGGGAAAACACATCCCAGCCACTCTTGGCATGATCCTTAGCCCCTCAGCAGCAGGCAGAAGGGCTGGAGACCTATGAGAGAGACCTAAAAACCTATGAGGAGAAGCAGAGTGCTGGCAGGAGGAGGGCCCCAAGGGCTGTGTGGGGTAGACTGTCAGCACAGCATGTATAATGCTTTAGAGGAACATGGTGTTCACTAGCAGAGTCAGAATTACAGACTGGTCCTGAAGCCCTTGGCACCAAGCTGGCCTCCCCATCTCTGAAGGAGCCACGCCAATAGAGCTGCACAGGAGTGAGGTTTGGGAAGGAGAGGCAGAGCAGCCAGGGGAGGGAGTTAGATTTCCCGCTCGGCACTCTGCATGTTGTTGGTTTTCTTCATTTCCTTGAAAATGTGAATCTTGAGAACGGCCAAACAATGGTTACAACTAGCAGACGTTTCCCTGCTGTGGGACACTCATAGCCACCTCTGTGCTGGGATTAATTCAACCTGGTAAATGTCCTCACTATGCTGCCTGCCTGCAGCACGCATGAGAAACCTACATCTGAAAAGAAGTTTCTTTGCGATGCAGAGAAATCGCAGCTCTCCCCCAACACCTTCCTTCTTTTCTCCCCAGGCCGAAGAGCTGCTCTGTTGCCTTTTTGACTCCCTGACATCTGAGAGCATCCACCGAATTGAATCCCAGGATTGCTAACCAAGATGGTCAAGGCCTCCAAGCAGCCCATGGGTGGATGCCACTGTGGGTATCTGTGCAGACGGACACACAGGGGACTCCCAGCCTCTAAGAGCACTGATATTTGTTTGTCATTAAAACATAAAGTCTGAAGTATGGTATTAGCATCAGTAAGATAAATGAGAGTGGTGGGAGGAAGGATCAGTGCCCAAGAACAAATCTTTCTGAATCGTAGCCGTGGTTTCTAGTGGAGTGCATTCAGAGACAATCTGCTTGCGTTCATGGAGCAAGGTTTGGAGCATTCCTCGGGCTGGGAAAAACTCAGGAAGTGAAGTAAATAGGGGCAGGGGTTCACTGCTGTCTTTCCCTCAGGTGCTTGGGGACTCTGTCTTCCCCAGGCCCCAAAGACGTTATGGAGAGACTCCATTTTCTGCTGCTACTATGTTCTTTGAACCAAAGACAAAACCACAGTAAATATAATGGAAATAGTCTGAGGGAAGGTTGGATCCCTGGAGCGTCCAGTACCCCAGGTAGAGCTGTTGAATAAGATTAAAAGCTGGACAGCTTAACGTTCACTTGCCTCTGCTCCGGCAGCCCTGTTAGCCCTGTCTCTGCCCAGCGCCAGCTCACTGCCCTCCCATGGGCACACAACCCTGCCTCTTGTTCCTCCTTCTACAGCAGCCGCTGATCCTAGTGCAATTCCTCCTTGGCTGAGTCCTTTCTATGAGCTCTCTGGCAGATAATCTGGCATTAACACGGAGGTCCTCAGTCTTCCTGGGACCCACTGCGCAAATTCAGCTCCTTTGGGGAAGACTCTTCTCAGCCCAGGAGGCCTCATGTCCCTGTGTGCCCTGCTATGGCAAAGACTTAGGCATGCGCGTGCATCCAGTTCCAGACATCACAGGCGTGGCAAGAACAGTCTCTGTGCATTCTCCAAGTGGTATTAAGGCAGAGCAGCGCGCAGCTGGCTGGCCAGCCCACCTCTGGGTGCTGCTGGCAGGGTGAACCCCCTCTGTGCACAGCCTTTCCTTCCGTGAGAGCCTGGCATGAGTCCTCCTCCTCCCCAGGCATTGGCTCGCACAAACTGTGAGAATTCAACACCTCTCAGATCTCTGTCCCCTTTCAGACCAGGCTGAAAGTGTCCAGTAAGTCCAAAAGCTGTCAGAGGTCTGGCCCTGCAAGCTCTGCTTCCTCAGCTGGTAATAGTCCTGCCTTGGTCTCTCCCCTTCTCTAACCTACCTTGAAACAGCAAAAAGATTGTCACGGTCAGCTGGGTGAACGGGGGACACGGACAGGGGACCTGCCCTGACCTCGCACAGCAGTTACGTGTCAGAACTTGGAAGTACCCTCCAAAACTCTGCTCCCCAGCACTGTTCTGCCCGGACAGGCTGTTTGGGCTTTATGGTGGGACCGAACATCTCCTGAAGAGAAGCTCCAGAAACACGCGTGCCACGAGGGAAGCAGGCAGCTGCGCCGGTCCCCCGGGAGGATGGGGTCCCGGGAGTCAGCGTGATGGAAAAGCCTGCTCTGCTCCTGCAGCTAAGTAGGCCATTTCCTGCACTCAGGCGCATTTCTGTCATGCTTGTAAGCCATGTACGGCTTTGAAACAAATGAAAATTAAAAGGATCCACCCCCAGCACTTGGGGAATTTGATCTGAAAAAGGAGCGTGTCGGAATAAAACACAGCCAGATAGCAGCTGAAACACAAGGCCTGCAGAGCTACGTGCAGGAAAGGGGCACGGGAGGCCAGCAGCAGCCCTACACCCAGCCAGCGTAGCGGCACGCGGGCCAGCAGCGCCGTGTCCAACTCGCCTGAGCCCCTGGATCTGTGAAAAACGGGATCACAGGGAGCTGGACATCAGGAGCTGATGCTCTGGTGACTGGCAGCAGTCAGCCTGGGGAGGTGACCTCCCGTTTGGACACCCCTGGCCGGGTCCGTGCTTGCCAGCAGGCAGGAGCTCTCCAAGCTTCGCAGCAGGAGTTGAGACTACGACTCTTAATTCGCCACGTAATAAACGAGGGCCTAGCACAAAAGGCACCACATCCCCTGCCAGACAGCCCCGCTGCTGAGGCTTGTTCTTTGTGAGTCGCCATCCACCAACACCCAAAGACCCGTGCCTCAGTTTCCCATGCGTGAAATAGAGGTAACAGCTCCGCCGCGTCCCCTGGGCACACCAGCAACATCATAAAAATGGGGCAGCACCCAGATATTTTTGAGCGGGAGGCTGCTGCAGTGTCTTCGATTCCTATTTTAAAGGCCAGCTAATTAGGCTCGGTGTAACAAACTAGCACGCCCTGCACAGAGCAGGGGAAAGAATCATCCTCTGATATTTCCAAAATGCCAGGATTCCATAAATAACCTTGCCAGCCTTTCCTCCCAGAGCACCCCACTCCTCTCCGGAGAGCTGACAACCAGGAGCACCATGGACCCGGCAGAAATCAATCCCATCGCCCCGCTGCCAGCTCCAGCTCTGTCAAAGGGAGCTGCAGCTCACACGCTGTTTTTCCCTGCAAACTGCCACAAGGCAGCCAGGATTAGCTAATCAGAGCTGAGGAGCAAATTAATGATTGCTAGAACTAGGAGAAAGGCAGATTTGATCTGAGATTGCCAGTTTTGCAGCTGGCTCCTACTTGCAAACAATTCATTTAGATTATGAAAGCAAGAAATTGAGTACAAAACCCCCTAGATTGTTTGCTTCCTAGAGAAAGAAAAGAAAAGAAATGGAATTTAGATTAAAAATTATGCAGAATAGTATTAATTCCCCACCCTCTTGTGCTTCTCCTCTTGCTGGAAAACCAGAGCTAATCAGAATTTAGCATTGTTCTGCTGCCAGTGTCAGAGCTGCCTCAATGGAGGAGAGATAAAATACAGTAGGTGGCATTTTGTGTTAACTCCTTAGGGTCCTGCGATAAGAAAGATGGGAGCGCGGCGCCCGGTGCCGGTCTCCCGTTTTCCCGGCGTGCTCCGGCCCAGTCATCACCTCCCTTCAATAGGCAAGGGCCTCGGGGTGCGGAGCAGCTCCTCATCCCGCGCAGAGCTCATTGCTGCGCCCCAGCACCGTCAGGTGCGGGCACGTTGTGTTTGTTTGCCGCGCGGAGAGCTCGGTAGCTCTCACACCAGCCCTTCGCTCCGCCTTAGAGCAAATTTGTGTCCCGAGGGATGCAGAGGTGCTGGGTGCTCTTCCCTATCGCAGGCTCAGGCAGTGGAGAGCCGCGCTCACGTCGTAGCTTTCTAGCTCACTGTGTTCCCCTTTGTGCCAAGGACAGATTTAACTAATTCTCAATTAGGCCTAGAAATCGCTACCTGGCTGCCACCAGCGGGACACCGATACCAAGCCGGCTGAGCGGAGGAGGGCCGTAACGGTTCCCTTATCACCACTAAGCAAGGCGCGCGCACGTGACCCTGCGATTCACAGGTGGAGTAGCAAAACTGGCAGCTGATCCGCTCTCCCGCTCCGCTCTGCCGGGGAGCTGCAGGAGCGGCTCGTCCCCGGTGAGCACGCACCGGCTCTGCCCTCCTCCAGGCATCCCTGGGTCAGGGCCGGCGTCCAGCCGCTGCCGGTAGAGGTGGGTGACATCTCCCTGCTGACCCTCTTTCAGCCACCGGTGCAGACTCAGCAGCTGCTCGGAGGTTTTGCGGTCTGGCCAGCCTGACTCTTCCACCCCCCGTCCCCGAATTAAAATGACAAGGAAAACCCCAAAATAAAAGTAATCACCTCGGAGCAAAACTTGGGGGTGTTTCACTTTGATCTCCCCTATCAACCTACCTTCTGCTGTATTAAGCAGATTTGAAAACATGTGACACCTGGAATTGAAACAACCCCCTAACACCGACACGGGGATTTGATTTGGGCCGCAATAGTTCTTTTTCTTTTTTATTTTCTTCCTTAACATTTACATTCACCCAAAAATCCTGTTTCTGCTCCAGCCCTATGCACATGAGCCCTGCCGAGCACCGGGGATGTCTCACATCACCGCTCAGACCTGCCGGCCTGAAAATCGCCGCGCAGCAAACGGGATTTACTGCCCTCCCCCGTGAACTGCATAGGCATGGCCTAGAAATTGGGCGCCGATTTTCATCTCCGGAGGCCCACGGCTGGTTCGGGAAGCAGGAGGAGCTGACGGACCTGCTGGAGCTGTCGCCGGATCGAACATCCTCACCGGGCTGGATGGTGTTGGTCCGCACAGATCCCACGCTCACAAATATTTGCCTCGCTCCAGCTGGCATAGCCGAGGGCCTCCACCGTTGGATTTCCAGGTGTCTCTGCAGCTAGAGGGCTTGCTGAGCCACCGCACGAGAGGCCTGGCCGTGCCGGAGAGCTGAAATGCTTTTGGGCGTTAGCGAGGCCAGCGGCCAGGACGCGGGTATGGCAGGGGTGGCGGGTGGCTGGTCCCCGCCGGGGGAAGCAGGTGCCTCCCCATCGTCTCCCTGGGGTGGGATTAGGACCCGGGCTCTAGTCCCAGCTCTGTCCCGTCGGGCGGGCAGTGGGCCCTCTCCGTTCCTTGATCTCCATCTTCCCGGGGCACCATCTCCCAGGCCCGTCGCAGCAGGAGCCGCTGATTAATTGGTACTTGGCAATTCCCCATCGACGGGGGCTGGAGGAGGACAACGGGCAGTTTGTCTGCAAGGCTGCAAGCTTTGATAAAGCAGGGCCGGGGGTGACTCAGACGCGGGTAATTAAACTGGTTGGAACAGCGGATGGCTCAGGCAGAAGCACCAGCCCGGTGCACGAGGAGCCCTTTGAACTGCTCTAACTGGGTCGTGCAGGAGACCGGTGCCTGCAGCGCCTTGCGCGGGTTCACCTGGCCCCGGCGCGGCCGCGACCCAGCGGCAGCACCGCTCCCCGTCCCAAAGAGCGGACGGGTTTGCTCCGTTAAAGCGGGGCAGAGGCTCTGCCTGGAGAGTTTCGCACGGGGCGGGGTTAAGCTGGGGGCTGCTGGGGCTTGCAAGTGCTCCTGGGGAGCTCAGCGGAGGGGCTGTAGGGTAGGTGGGGTGGTTGGTTGGTCGGTCGGTTGGTCAGTCGGTCGGTCGGTCGGTCTGTCTGTCTGTGTCCATCCATCCATCCAGGCCAGGCCCAGGTCCTGCAGGACCGGCCGGGCCTCGGCTGAGAGACCCACCGCCGGCCGGCGATTGCCCCGGGGCGCGGCTGGCCCGGGGGGCGGGGACTCCTGACCAATCCCCCGCTGCCCTGCTGTCTCTGGCCAATCCCAGATCTCCCCTCTCCTGCCCTGGCCAATCACGTGCAGCTGCTGCCGCCGGGAGGGGTATGTAAGCCCTCGGGTGGGCCGGGGGGCTCGTGCCGGTGGGGCTCTGCTGGGCTCCGGGGTCCTGGCCCTGCCCTGGGGCTGCGCCCGGCTGCCCGGATGGGTCTGGGGGTTACCTCTCGTACTGACCCCCTGCGGTCCTCCCACTTGAAGACCTGTGCGATGTTTGCCATTCTCCAGCCGTCAGGACCCTCCTGAGATCTTTGTGAGCTTTCAAAGGTTATTTTGAAGATGAAGGCTCTTGTCTCCAGCGAGATCGCCACGTTGCCACAGCTGATTGGGATCCTCAGGTGGCTCCAGTGGACCTGCTTGTGACCAGTTTGCCCAAGACCTTCCTCCACTGCGGGTGATGCTCCGTGTTTGCTGCCTCTGGACTGAAGCCACCCTGTGCACTGTGGCAGACCCTGTTATGGGTAACATAACCCTGTTACGCTGCTAGTGCTGATCTAACAGAGGAGATCTCAGTGCTGCGGTGTCCTGGCTGACCTGTCTGGGGCTGCAATCTGGGAGACTTCCTCAGCTGACCTAGAGAGGGAAGGGGGGAGCAGGGCAGGGCGGAATGGATGTCCCTGCCCCTCTGCCTCAGCTGAACGTTAGCCCTCAGCTGGCAGCCGCTGCTTGGGGCCCGGAGAATGCATTTAGCTCGTGCTACACAGCTGCAGGCACCCGCATGGCTGTGAAGCTCTTACTGCGAGGCAGCTGCGTTTCCATGCTCTGAGCAGTGACTTTGGGTGTGGGATTCATCCTTTCCAGTGCTCTGGCAGAAGATCCTGAGCTGTTGGTGGCTGTGCACCGAGATGCTGATACCTTCTCAAAGCAGCCTGGCCAGTGAATGTCTACCTGAGAGCCATGGAGCAGCTGTTCAGACCTGCAGATCTGGTCTGCAGTGGACTAGGCTCACCCCATGGTAGAGCAGAGAACGCTTTGCCATGAACAAGTGGCTCCCAAGAATGGCTGTGGGTCGTCTCCAGTCGAAAGCTGGGTAATGACTCGGAGCTGGATACTTCACGCTGCAGGGAGCTCGCTGTAAGACTAATGTGACTGTTGTGCTGGTTCCAGTCTCTGACCCCGTGCCTGTCCTTCCACAAGATCCAGCCTCCCTCGGGAAGCCTGGAAGCCAGCCAAGACGATGTTCAGTTCCTGATCCTGCAAGCAGACAGAGAAGCCTGGTCTGCTTCAACCGGCTAGAGCTGATGCCAACCAAAGTGCCGCTGGGTCCTGCGGAGCTGCTCCTCTCCCCCAAAGGGAGATACCCAAACGCAGGGACCCGAACATAACTGAACGGTGGTGCTATGAAGCAAATTAAAGACCACCAAGAAGCTCCTGACCACTAAACTACCACTGTCTTCTGGATATCTGCTGCTGAACTTTTCAAACAATCATAGACTGTATTCTGATGCCCAGCCTCCAGAGTCTCTCAGCCAGCGTGTCTGACAGCCTCCAAATATTGAAGTCCACCTGGACTTGAAGCCAAGCAAGCGTCCCAAAGGCATCTTCTGGGTCAGCCAGTCAGTCCTGCCACGTACAAGTGATCCTGGCCAGCCTCAGCAAGCAATGCCCGTGAGGGTGGATGTGACTGAGGAGCTCCGCAGAGCAGGACACCACGGTGCCCCATCCGGAGCAGGCAAGGATTTGAAACTAGACCTTGGTCCTTGGGACGGGGTCCTTGCAGTGCTCTTCAAACCAGGCCGGAGAAGGGCCAGTCCCTCCAGTGGCTGCAGATCTGCCACGAGCTGGAGCGAGTCCAGCAGAGGCAGAGGGAGCCGGACCTCTGTCAGTCTGGAGAAGAGGAGGTTGAGGGAGGGGGATCTAAATCGCTGTCTGGGACGATCCAGTGCTGGGAGCAGAGAAGACGGGGAGGTGCAAAGCAGAGGGATGAAGCGGTGGGTGGGTGCGGGCTTCCGCAGGAGCCAGCGTAAATAGCACCTTACGCTCAGCCGTGGGCTTGGGGTGCTGCCCCTGGCACCCCGAGCTGGCAGCTGGGCCTGAGGGCAGGGGTGCTGCCTCTGCCCGCGCCAGCATCCTGAGCCGTGTCCGGGCGAGGCGGTGGTGGGGATGGCGGAGATCTCCTGTCCTTGCCGAGGCTGGGATGCTGCGGTTGCCATGACAACGTGGGAGGCCTGCGGAGCCGGAGCCCGTAACCCAACTGTTCGGGTGGCGGGGGGTTGTGTAAGGCTGGGTGTGCTCCCTATCGCTTCCCCTGGGCCCTGGCGCCTCACCGTACCCCAAAATTGTGATCAAAAAGCTGACAAACCCACCCATTTTTCAGCAAAAAGACCCTGGTGAAAAACACTGGGTTTCTCACAGGAAGAAACACCTTTGGGTGAAAAAATGTGTCCAAACCCGTTGCAGGGAGCGCGCAGCCAAGCCGGAGATGCCGGCGGCCTCCTGCCTTCCTCTGCCCCGTGCCAAAATCCTCCCGGCTGGCTGAGGCTGGAGCAAAGGCAGTTGGCACCGGGCAGGGTTTGGCCCAAAGCCATTCCCTGTGGGATGCTCGTGGGGCTGTTTCCACCGAGCAGGGACCTGCCCGGGAGATGGGCTGCGGAGGGATGGGGAGGGATGGGGATGGAGGCGCAGCCAGCTCCGCTCTCCCTTTGTCCGAAGGTGGCTGGATCTGCCACACAAGGTCACCTCTCCCTTCTGCCACCAGCTGTGGCCCTGCTGAACCATCCCACGTGGCGCGGGGCTGGATTTTTCTCCACCTCAGGACGGCTTTTGCTGCCTGACTCCGGCAGCTTGTCCCCACAGGGGCCCTCTCAGGCCATCAGGCTTTGACTGACATCTGTCTGTCATCTCCCTGGCAGCTGGTAAACGCAGACAGGGGAGGGGCCCTGCGGAAAGGACAGGCAGGGGATGAGCCCGAGCTGCATCCCCTCCGTAGGCGGCTCTGCAGCTGCCGGAAAGGGCATCAGGATGCCCTTGTGCGTCCTAAAGCAGACCCCGTTGTCGGCAGCATCCCTGAGCGTCGGCTCGTGCTCTTGCTCGGGTGGCTCATTTTGCGCGGCGGCCTCAAGCTCGTCCGATTTTGCTCAGGCGCTGGGTAGCACATGAGTCACATTTCGTTCCAACGCCCATCTCAGCTTGGTGCCGTCGCTATTTTTGGAAACTCTTTGAAAGCGGATCAGCCCTAAGAAGCGCATTTAATGAATACTCTCGCCACACCGGGCTCGCGTCCCCCTGACGTCTCCGTGCGGCGGCTTGTGAAGCCCCCGGCAGGCCCGACCCCCCCCTCCTTTTTTCCCCCGCGCTCCCCTCCCGGCTCGGGGTGCACGGGACGCCTGCAGTGGGCCTCAGCCTGCAGCCCCTCCTGAATCATCGGGGAGCTGAAGCGGCGTCTTGGTGGCAAAATATTTCCTTTTAAAGGGGTTGTTTGGGGTTGGGTTTTTTTTTTTGGCGATGCCGGCTTGGCATTGATCGTTTGTGCTCCAAACGAGCGGATCATTCACAGTTATTTTTACTCTCAGCCTCCAGTATTTTAGCTGGGGCTGCAGTGGCTCACTTAGCATCTCTAAGCAAAAACGGACAAAATTCAGCTCCAGAAATTGAGGGCTGGATGAAATTAGAGGCGGGCAGGCTTCGCCGAGTGTCACGGCCAGGACCCCCTGGCCTTCCCAGCTCGGGAAGGATCTGGTTTTACCGGACGCCGGTGGGGCTGGCCCTGCCGCACCCATCCTGCGTCCAGCACCCACGCCGTTTTCACACCTGCCACCCCGTGCCTCTTCCCTCCGGCCTCGCGTCCGGCTCAAGGACCTGTACAAATCTATTAGTTATTTTCTTTCAGGGCAGCGCCTGCGCCGCTCATCCATCGCTCGGGGACTGCCCAAGGTCAGCAGCCGCGGCACCGGGGCGGCCGCCTTCCCAGCCAAACCCGGGAGCAAACTCGGAGGGGACGCGGGCAGGCGATGGCTTTGCCGAGCCGCTGCTTTTGCCACATTTTTGGGTCTGAAGGTTTCACCTGGAGACAAGCAGCCCCCGCCCTCCCGGCGCTGACGGGCTCTCAGCATCCCCGACCTTGCTGGGATAAAATTAGCCATTTCACTTTGAATTAAAGACAGTTCAGCTGAAAGCAACCCGAGTGGTGCATTTCAAAGACGTCAAATGGCAGCGTTTCCTTTTTTGTCTGCCATCGGGGAGGGGAGGGTCCTTCCAGCCAGCGCCTGGTGACAATGACATTGATTTCCTAGACCTTTTGGCGTGGCCAAATCTGTATTTTTAGCTGGGGGAAGAAAAAAAAAAAAAAAAATTTTGAATCGCGTGTCGAAGAAATGCTTTCCCTGCCCTGATGAGAAGGGAAAGGAGATGAAAGCCTTCGCTGCTGAAGTCGGCAGCCGAAGAGGGCTCGCTGCCTGCTGCTCTC